TTCGAGCAATCTGCTTAAAAGCCATCATAAATGGATTCTTACTCTTTATCTTCCTCTCAGTCTGATCAAAACTCAAGCATCTATTTCAATAGGATGAAGGAGGTCAACCTTCCAATGCCCTGAAGTTATTGGTGCCTAACATCAAGAAATTAGTAGATTCACCAATGAAATATGAGAATTATCTGGAACAGAAGACAAAAATACTTAAACATTTCACAACAAATGATTTTGATTCTTTTTTACATAACTCAATCCCCCACCCCAATTCACTCAAGATGATACGAGAACTCTATCTAGAAATCTAGATTATACATTGGCTTTTGGTTGATCAAAACCTAGTTGTAATTCTAATTTCAACCATTCCTCCTTCTATTCTATCCTACAAATTACATCTTTAGAATACAACAGCTAAATTTACAACACTGGAAAGAAGATTTCAATCCATAAATAGATCAATACTAATTTGGCTAAAAAATGAGCTTCACAACATCTCCAAAAGTCACAAACAACATGTCTTATTATATTACTAACATTAAAATTTTAGTTGACAACATAGTTGTAGCTGGAGCTAAGATCAACATTGAAAACATTATCCAGTAATGATATTTCTCATTAATTTACAAGTCCTCATACCCATGAGTAGAATGGAACAAACACACACACACACACACACCCTAACCCTAGTAGAAACAGCCACCTAGTAGAAACAGCCAAAACTCTACTCAATGCTATTATTCTACCTTCTCAATTTGGACATGAAGCAGTCAAATATCCAACTACCTCATTAATAGATTACCCTCCCTCATTACATGAAACAAATCTCTCTTCCACTTATTCTACAAAATAAAATCTAAATTTTTACACCATAGAATCATTGGATGTGCAAGCTACCCATGATAGCAACCATACACTAAAAGCAAGTTCCAACATAAAACCCACTTTGTTCTTTCATTGGTTACAACTCAAACCATAAATGATATCGATGTTTTGACAACCACACCAATAGGCTTATTATATAATGGAATGCCTGCTTCATTGAACATTTCTTTCCCAAACAAAATAACAAATCCATAACATAAACAACTACATCTACCATCACACATTAACCACTACGCAGTATGCTAATAACCACCTATAACTTACCAAATCTTACTAAGTCAATACATTCTCACTTTATCACATTCATAAAAACAACTTCCTTCCCTCCATAGTCTTCCCCAACACTCCCATAAACCTACTCAACTCTACATCAATGAACTCTACCATCCTATCAAGCATCAGATGGTAACACAACTTCAAAAAGGAAAACTAAAACTAAGAAAACTTTTAAACCTTCAACATACAATTGACACAAAAACACTGACAAAATTCACTTATGCAACAAAAAAATCTCATTGGAGACATGCACTATCAAAGGAATTTATGGCTCTACAATAATAGCGAATGCCAAAACTAATTCCACCACCTTCTATTCAATTTTTTTTAAACCAAAATATCACGCAGATAGCTCAAGATACAAAACAAGACAAGTTTCTTAAGAGTTTTCCCAATAACAAGGCATAAACTATAAAAAAATATTAATTCAAATGACAAAATTTCCCACAATCAGAATGCTAATTACTTGACAACATCATAGACATGGAAAATATAGCATATAAATGCCTTTAATGCATTTCTACATGGGAAACTCAAAGACGTCATCTATATGGAATAAATTATAAGATTTACAAATATTTAGCATCCTCACCATGTAATCAAACAAACTAATCTATCAGATCAAATAAACACCTAGATAATGGTACTCAACCTTTTCACCTTTTTATACACACAATTCTTCAAACTTAGCATGACTGAACCATTTTTACTCATTTATAAAAAAATAAAAAAAATTAGAATATATTTGCTCATCTATGTAGATAATATTCCTATCACTGAAAACTCCACTCCAGTGATAATTTCCCCTCATAAAAAAACTTAGCACTCGATTCATTCTCAAACAATTGGGTCCCATCTCTCACTTTCTTGGTCTATAAAATTAGCATACACCCATAATATATTCATTATATCAAAGTAATTACCTCACTGATTTACTCACTCAGGTAGGAATGATTGATGGCAAACTAGTTTTTATAAGCAACTTCTTAGCTCACTACAATACCTCACTGTCAACCACCAAGATATCACCTTCACAATAAATTCCCCGAGTCATCACTTGCACAATTCACATACCACACACTTACAACCTATAAAACAATTACTTAGATATCTCAAATGCACAAAGTCATACAGACTCTTCATCAATTCTAGACCCCTCAATCTACAAGCGTACGCAGATGATACTTTGGGTCAGTGGCAACACAAATAAAAAACTTACAAAGAAGCAACCAACAATGACAAGATCTTTAATAGAAGTAGAGTATGAAGCCCTTGCTTCTAGCACCACCATCATTCTACAACTCAGACATCTACTTCAAAAAACTACTCGAGCATCTCTTCCATTAACTACCATCTACAACGACAACACTTTGGACATAACATTAACACATAATCCCATTTTTCATGCTTGCACTTAACAAAATAAAGTCGTCAACCATTTCATCAAAGACAACCTCAAATTATGCAAAATCTCTCCTACCCACATCATGACATAAGATCAGATTGTTGACTTCTTCATGAAACTCCTTCTAATCACCTAACATCAAAGTTAGACCGATAAATAGAAAAACTAACCATTAGAGGGAGCTCACATCCATGTTTACTATGCCAGTATCACCACATGCATATAAAATTCTAGAGCCATGGTCCCAATGAAGGTCGAAGAATTAAGGAATTCCATTATATCAAACCAATGAACTTATTCCCTAGATGTTACTTGTGTAATGTCATATAGGCTCCTTGGTTTCCTATAAAACAAATGGATAAGATAATGTAAATGGTGGCATAAAATAGTAAAACATTGTTGTTGACTACATAAAAAATAATATCTTTGCCATAAACAGTAGTTGAAAGTATAATTATAAGCTTTGTAATGATAGAGAGAGAGAGAGAAAGTGAGAAGAAGAGAGGGAGAGGGAGGGAGAGAGAGTGAGAGAGAGAGAGAGAGAGAGTGAGTGAGTGAGTGATGCCTCACAAATGTTTACATTTAGATAATCTTATCAAACCCTTTATGAAGACATTTTTTTTATATTGATTTGCCATAATTTTGATTTAAAACGAATTATAGGTATGAACACAATATGAACAATCAATGTTTGCAGTATGTTTTGAACCAAGTCATCTTCATTCTTTTTTACTTAATGGGTCAATTTAGACCTGATTAGTTTTACTTAGGTTTTGGGATAAGATTCAAGTCTCATCTTTAATATGGCCTTCAGTTTTCGTTCATGCCAAATTTGTATCTCTTATAGGGATTGATGTGCACGACACTCAAAATTACCTAATTTATATGGCTAACTCTTAAAACTTACTTTTTTGTTAATGTATCATGCTATTAGTTCGATTTACCCTATTTTGCTAATGTAAGCTATGATGTAATCACAATTGGTAAGGGTATTTGGGATGAACAACTTGTGTAATTTGTTGAAAAATTATTATAAGAGAGGAAATTGTGATTTGAATCTTTATGGAACGGCCATTTACAAAATCAACAATATCTGCTGCACTCTTAAAATTCTCGACGATGAGGAAGGAAGAGCAACTAGCATATTTACCCTATTTTGCTGATGTAAGCTATGATGTAATCACAATTGGTAAGGGCATTTGGGATGAACAACTTGTGTAATTTGTTGAAGAATTATTAGAAGAGAGGAAATTGTGATTTGAATCTTCATGGAACAGCCATTTACAAAATCAACAATATCTGCTGCACTCTTAAAATTCTCGACGATGAGGAAGGAAGAGCAACTAGCAGCAAGATCTCATTGAGAGAATTCATTGGCACACAATAACTTCTTTTAATAATCCTGAAACTATTGGTGGCAAAGACGAGCCAATGATGTGATGACCTAGGAGAAGGCCTTCCAGAAAGTTAATCAAATGGTAACATTTTTTTACAAAAAAAAAAAACTTGAGTGTTATGTGAGTAATTAATAAAGTTTGTGCTAAATATGTGAGTAACTAATTCATAAAGGAAATTGATGACAAGAGTTTCATTTCTAATTAAATGTTGATGTAAATTTCTTGGACTATATTTTGTTAAAAATCGCATATGGTGTGACGAAATCACATGTACCATTCGAAAGACTAGGAAGAAAAAGGAGCATTGCATAAAAGTTGAATATCATCACCATCTATTAGCATTCATAAATTTCAAAGCATGGATCGTTATCATGTCTGAGCAGCCTTTAAGGATTATTTCAAAAAATATGCTTTTATTAACAAATCAATATATAAGGTGTTAGAGCTCATAAGTGTAAGATTAATTACATTAGTAACCTCACTTTTATCCTGAAATTCATTTAAAAAATGTTATAATGCAACGAATTACTTTTGCTAGACTCACTAAATTGTCTTATTTTTTTGCCCTAACTACTACTTTTTCTATCTTGGGAAAGAAAATTATTTTCCTATGCCAAGTTTCTGCCAAGTTTCTCAAATCATGATTCATATTGTCATGTTAACTACAAAATCAACAGTTTTTCAAGATCATTGGTATCACAAAATAAATATTGAAAATTTATATATGAATCAACATCTGAAAACAAGATAAAGCCGTAGTTTTTGCTGGCCCTGCTCTTGGTTGGGCCCGTTCAATCTAGTACTAATAATTAAAAAGAAGCTTAAGTTACAATTTCTATATTATCTCATGCAGTTCAAGATCAAATTCAAGTGATTAAATTCGTTAATTTATAGTCACATATCAATTTTCATGTTGCAAATTTGAATCATGGTAGAACATGAAATCCTCAAATGACAATAATATATACTTTATATATCAAGCTGCACGATAATTAAAGATTTTCAAAATTAAATGCATGTCCTGACGTATGAAACAGAAGACGTGAAGGAATCACCCTCTATATATCTATGCTTATTAGATTTCCACATATTACAGGGGACGCATTGGTTAAGACATGAATAGCATCATTAATCTGCAGTAACAAGTTAAGGATAACAGCAACAAGCGACTTAGCACCCACTAAGTACATAAGAAGGTTAATTAGAAACTGAGGAAAAAGAAAGAAGAATAAATGAGGAAATTCTCATAACCCACCCTCTTTCCCACAGTCTCTACCTCTCCAATGCTAACATTATTGACAAGGACAGAATAAAAATAAAGTAAGTGCTCTTCATTTAAGGAAGACTATCTCAATCTCTTCAACTTCTAGTAGTTAAAACTCTCATACTGAACTCATCCCCTTGTTGGCGACCGGCGGCTTGGCTGCCATGTCCACATCGATGGGCTCGCAAGGTCCAAGCTTTGAGATTTCGATCGTATGTTCTGGCAGCTTGTTCCCCTCTGCCAAGCTTTCAGGAACTTTGGTATCCTTATAGATGATATAGAGCACCATTTGAATTGCCCCAAATGTGAATCCTAGTATGTTTGGGAGCTATATACACAAATATTTGTATGACACATTAGAATCAATAATTAATGGTTTATGATTGTAACAAATAAGCAATTACCGCAACATAGATGTCCTTGGAGAAGAGGCCAAAGGAGAACCACACTACTGCGCTCAGTGTGAGAAAGAATGAAAGAGAGAATGGCATGAACTCTACGCTCTTGGTTCGAATGACCATTCTCTGCATGATTTTTTTTTCAATTTAATCGGTTAATTGTTCATGGTGAATTAAGTATTTAAGATTATAAGAACTTATTGAATTAATAACATACAATTATGCTTAAAGGAGCAGCAAAAACGCTGACGGAGAAAGCAACACAGATCCAGCCGAGAACTTTGACGCGGAGACTGGGCTTGGAGACGAGCAGAGTACACAGAACTATCAAAGAGAATAGTCCAACGTTTAATAGCATGAACATCTTGAATGTGTGCATCTGCAGACAATAACAATATAAATTAATCAAATAATTTTTTTTTAAAATATATATATTAATTTAAATTCAATATACATACCCTCGTTTTCTTAGCTGCATATATGAGATACATGATGATATATATGGTTTCAACGACACAACCAAAAGAGTTGATGGTTATGAGAAGGAATGCATCGCGGCCTTTAATGAATGCGTAGAAGATCCAGAGCATGGAGCTGAATAATGCCACAACGTATGGCAGAGATTGGAACCCTTCGGTCGATTTCTTCTTATAAATACGATAGAACGTCGGACTGCAATAAATTATGTATGAACATGTAATTAGTATTTTGAACTATTTTATTCCACTGTCCAGGAGAAAACTATTATAACTTGAGATTCTTACAGTGGAGCCAGGTAGACCATGAAAGAAATGACATTTCCTGCAATAGATTCATGAGCAAATGGGATTAGAAAGTATTTATTTATTTGAAAACTAAATAAAATTTCTTACACAAGTGAAGTATGCTAGAATGATTTTAGGCATGACGATTAAGGCAAATAAAGACCACCTTATATTTTTCTTACAAATATATATTCCTAATATAATTTTTTTGAAAACATTTAACACGAAATTATTAGATTATTTCTAAAAGTCAGCAAAGTAATGATTAATCAATGATAAGATTGAAAAATATTATTAGGAATACTCTATTCGCGAACTGTAGGCCCTATGAATTTTGGTGGGGTGAAAGATTCCTTATGCAGATTCTTGCAGCCAGCCTTTATATTCATGTTACATACAGAACAAACTTTATTGCTATAGATGAATCATTCCATGGCTGAGCTCGGAGTGCTCATAATATATACCGATAATCTAAATCAAACTCGATATGAACAGAGATTAACCAGTACTTCCTCCTTGGCTTTGTGATCAACTCTAAGAAGCGACAAAATGGAATTAATCAAATTTATCAAAACTTTGATCCACTTGTTATCTTCTCTTCTAATCACTCAGAATGCTATATATATGAAGAGCTAGGAAGGCAGATGGCAATGAAGGAAAGCTAGCTATAAATTCATGGTGATCAAATATACCTAGGATTCCAAAAGTGAATGCCCAAGGATGCTGTAATGACAATCCTCCTGCCATTGGAGATAGACAATATGGACAGCAAAAACAAAAAGGGACACTTTTGTGCTCCTCTCGCTTGTCCCAAAGCCTGTTTAGCTAAGTGACTGGAAGAAGAACAGACTAATTTGGATTGCACCTACATTGGGTGATTTCCCATCTTATATAGGAGATGGATGATAGTGCGGTGTGGACCACTTGTCTTGTTGGCATTAGCGCTGAACCTCCACCCAGCATACCGAGCACGCTTAAAGAAACTCAAATTTTGTGGTTTCAAAATAATTTTGTATGTAATCAAAGTGATCAATTATGCTTATTGATTTTAATTGTAATTTTTTCAATTCTTTGGTTGTTTCGATATAAGTGTACGTACCATTGCAAATGATGTTTTTTTTTCCTTCCAATTAAAAATTGAAAGTTGATACTTGAGGTGAAGAAAATCATTTTCATGGTTGAATATATAACTTTTTTAAGTCAAAATCTATTCTAATATTTTCTATCATGCATTGATAAAAATATGCACATATATAAAAAGAATTTATTTATTTATTATTGAATTATATCCAATGGAGGTCTCAATTATCATGAGTACAAAACCTACATTGGTGCTTGCAATCATTATAATTTATAGAATTAGCATTTAATTAAATTTTGGATGTAGTTATTGAATCGTTGGATTTGTGCATGCCACAAGTTAATCATTAAGAATTTTATTAAAATATTAAATATAAGTTGGGGCTTTATCATGAATTGTGATATTTGTGTGTGAGAAATTGAAAAATAGATGAGACAAAGCTAGTTTTGTGAAAAGCATTATTTCATATGCTATATTACCTTGATTAGGAAGATATTTGTTAAGCTCTTAGTAGAGTGATAACTTGATTCATGTTAGTGGTTGCCAGGTGTATAATATGTGGTATATGAAAATACGTTACATGCAACAATTTTCTCTCTCTCTCTCTCTCTCTCTCTCTCTCTCTCTCTCTCTCTCTCTCTCTCTCTCTCTCTCTCTCTCTCTCTCTCTCTCTCTCTCTCTCTCTCTCTCTCTCTCTCTCTCTCTCTCTCTCTCTCTCTCTCTCTCTCTCTATGTGAAGAGTATAATTAATTAATGGCACAAAGAGAGGGCTGGTATTGGCTTTCACGTGATCAAGTTGGCTATTACACAAATGCATGCCATTTCACAGCCGTTTTGTTTCCTCCCCACTTTATAATATTTGGTTTCCTTGTCCTCCTAAAACTCACTAGTTATTAATTATAACAACCACTTTAGCTTCTTAGATATATGTCATCCCAAACCAGCTCTCTAATAAGGAAAAGTCCATCTTTATCTCTCATTTTTATCTTTGTTTAGATGTTTTAACTAAGCATTAATTTTTTCTACTGATCATAAATTTGAAATCATTTTCTTCATGTTATACCTTAAGATTAACATTATGAGGCAATAATTCTTTCTTTGTAATCTAAGACTTTTTCCGGTTGTGTGGGGGCAATTAAATACGTGTTAAATGCCAGTTTATATAAGAGAATATTTGTTCTTAATTAATATGCCTCTGAATTTAGGATCGATTTAGCTAAGTTAAGTTTATATTTGTTGAAAAAATATAAAAATAAAAAGTACGCCACAGGGATAGCTAAATGTGCTGCATTGTAATAGATGGCACGTCAATTTGCACAACAATTTGCTCCATATAGGACTGTAATCTAGTCGTGTTGAGCCGAGCATATCATAGTTCAAACTTAATTTGATACAATTACAAGTTGTTCATAGTCGGGTTGAGCTTGTTTCTTTCAATTCATTGTTCTAGCTCGATTTGTTTAATTTTTTCAATGTTAGAGCTTGATTTGTTTATGCAAGTGAACCCGTATTTAAATGCGCTAAAAATTCAAATGAATATCAAGATTTCATATAAAAGATTTAATAAAAAAATTTGCAATTCTAATTGCAACTAATAATTTATCGATTATGAGCTCTAAAATTTTTGAACTTTACTAATTAGCTATATAATTTTTAATGCTACCACTACACTAGTTCAATTTTTTTAAGTGGAAGAACTAAACTGATCCTATTAGTTATAGTGAGGATATTTTAATCATATTATTAATAAAAGAATTACAATAATGCAATTCACATTAATTTTGCTAGTAATTGCACTGTGATGATTATATAAAATGAGCTCATTAAATTCAAGGTTATGAAAATTCTACTAGAAAAATCTTTTATGACACTCTTTAATTGTAAATATCTCATTCTAAATTTCCGTTCACTTATTATTTTATTATTCAATCAAAACTTAAATTTATAATTAATAATTAGACAAAAAATACTACTGATATAATAATATATTAGCATTAAATCTATAATTAAATTAGTTTTAGCTAATTAAATTTTATTTAAATAGTATATCAGATACGATATGTGTTTTTATCGATTTAACAAATTATTTGTTGAACGACAAACAAGTTTGTTCGTGAACAAAAATGAAAAAGTTTAATTATGTTCATGTTCAGTCATTGAAACTTTGAGCTTTTAAAAATTTTTCAAACTTGTTTGTTTACTAATTTGAAAGAACACGACTGACTCTTAATCAAGTCGTCTTCAAGCTGTTCATCGAGTGCCTTGGTTCATTCACAGCCCTAGCTCCATACATACATGTAGTTTGATAAAAATGGAAATAAAAAGTATGAGAACTTAAATGGTTGTTTCGGGTTCCCATCGAGGAAAGGCCAATCATACGTCACAGATGATCAGATAAAAGAAAAGCTAATTTTATTATGCAGATTTTCTCAAGTAAAATTATCTTGTATTATTCATCATACGCTTTGCATATTTAATTGTTTTGCAAGTTTGCTTTTCGTCAAATTAATGCTTTATTTATCTATTATTTTTAAAAAAATAAAAAATAAAACATACCTTTGTAAACCTCACCTGGCCAAAAAACAGTTTGGAGCTCATGGCTGGAAAATTTTGAACTTAAATTTAAGATATTTGATTTATCTTCTTTTTTTTTTTCCTTTAATTTCATCTTCTTTTCTAATATTTTTATAAGAAAATAAGACAAAAGTTAATAATTAATTAGTAGGCCAAAAACTCATAAAACAATTATGAGAACTTAAATGGGGGATGACGAATTAAAAAATAGAAAGATAATAAGTATTTACCATTAAAATCTCAATCTTCTTATATTGACTAAACAAAAACTATAATGACTATTAAATTATTACCAATTATTCAATTTTGTGTGGGCAATTTATTTAATTTATTATATGCTATTAAAGGATTTTATATCAACTGATTTAGAAATTTCATCTTCTATTTTTATCAATTAATCAAACTACTCATAATTAAAGGCAAGCATGTGTATTTATTGATTAATATACATATAGAGTTATTAAAAATGATTAGAATGAAAATATTGGGTCTTTTTATTCAAACTGACTCCACAGAATAGTATTTTGTCACGTATTTGGTGTCCTGCACTTTGAATTATGAGGAGAAAGCATGCATGGGATAAAAAGTTCATTGCTTTATTTCTTTTCTTTTCCTGCTTATTTGCTAATGCTTCTCTTATCGAGTTTGAAATCTCTCCCTTTTTATTTGGGTGGAGTTTGATATCACAGCATATCAAAGCATGCATTACATGCGTATACCGTTACAACGTAAGGAAAAATATAAGGAAAAAATATTACATCAGGACTCTGCACGTAGAAAAAAAAATCTGTCCGGTAACACAAGAGAATATTGCTCCCGTGTTATTCAGATGTTATTGTGTGTTATTCAAGTATTATTGATACGTTATTGTGTTATTATTACACTGGGAATATTTCCATAACACAAAACTTTTATAAATTTATGATTTATTACTTCTATTTATAATAACTCGTTCAAAATTTAGAAGAACAAAAGATAATAAACCATTAAATTTCATTATAATTCGTCAACTGAATAATAAATGATTTGAATGTCTGCACTGATCAAATTATAAATTGATTGTTTATTTAACATATTTGAGAGTTAGTTCTTCTAAATAAAAACTCTAGATACAATTAAGATATAAATATCACATATAACTAAATTAAATTAGATAATTTGGATTTTTAATTTTCTTCTTAGGAAGTTTACATAGGCAGGCGCACGTAAAAGGTTTATGTTTACTGATATTTCGTTTTATCTATGTATGAAAATATTAATTTGACTATTAAAAAGTGTTAATTTTTCGTCTTTTTGATTTGATATGAAAGTATTGGGAGCTTTGCTTGTACGAATAAAAGTTTTGATGTGAGATACGTAAATCTATAATAATCGAGTGAAACGTATGTAATCGTCTTTTTTTTTTCTTTTGAATTATAAATTCATGCATATTGATAAATTAATATTAAGGTGCCTTTATTTTTGAAGCATTAGATCTTATGAAGGCTAAAGTTGAATCATCAATAATTTAGTGGCACTCAATTATAAAAAAATTAGTAGCTTTTTAAAACAATAAAACATTCCTTGTTTTTCAATCAAAAACATTTATTTGGTATGAATATAATGATCAAATATAAGTAAATTATATGACACAAATTGCATGTTTTTTTTCTCTTCTTTAAAGTAAATTAAATCAATTTTAAATCACGTTTTTTGCTTTATATGAATTATTTCTCCACTACCTAAAAGTAAAATTAATCCGATACACTTTAATACTTTTTATAAAACTGTTACCGGAAAGAAATGGAGCTAGACGAATGCTAATTGATCATGTTTGGCTTTATGGCTCTTATGGAAAATTTGATTGGCATATTTGATTGCTTACATGAAAAACATTTTAGGGGAAAAAAATGCGACTTGTTCAATCATAAAAGTTTACTTTTTTGTGAAAAAATAAATAGAAGGTTGCATGGTCCCTTCAATAGCTGTTGGAAGGACTTCAATCTAAGATACTGTTGGAAATAAAATGCTTTTATAAGAGGAAGAATATCAAGTAAGAATAAGAACATATCTTGAAAGACATTTTTATTTCACTCTTTTTTATTCTTGGTTCTTTTCTATACAGAACTCAAACACATCACACCTGTTTATATTAATGACACATCTATTAGGTATGTGCCAATAATTTTCAATTCAATGACTACTATTGACTGTCT